TTTCACTACCGCCCTCACCTCTATCATCATTACCCCCGGTCGTTCTCCGCCCTCCCGTCCACTATCACTTCCGACATCGCATCTATGTCCACCGTCAATATTATTCTCCCTTCCTCCGCCACCTCTCCCTTCATCTCCCACTCATTCCCTTCATTCCCCGCCTATGCAGCTGCTAGTGCTGAGCTGGAGAACCAATTGCATTCGACATCTCTCTCACCGTCACTACAAAATGTGGAAGTTACTTCCGCCTCGCGGAATCGCGAATCTGAAGGCCTGTTCGAATTGCGAAAACAGAGAGATCAGGAAGATTTACAAAATCATCGTGGAGGCTATTAATGTTTATAAGACTCTTAAAGTAGCTTATTTATTATTTACGAATAATGAGAGACAAGGCAAGGTGTGCAACTAAAAAATCTGGCACAAATTAGTTAGGCCTACATACTCGTACTTTCGATTTCATATGCGTTCAGTCTTTATCTATTTCGTTCCAACATATTTATGACACAGGGATTGATAATATTAGTGGGTGAAACTACAACGGTATAAATGACATTTCATAAATTCTGAGAAAACTGTTATTTAATTCAATATTGTGTTAAGTCGTTGTGCTTTGTTTCATCACTAAAACCAACGGCATTTCAATTATTCATTGAAACCACGAAATTACGTTGCCAACGTAAATAAAGCGTAAAATAAACACTTTTTCTCAAATTAATAAAATGGCATACCGTTCTGGTTTTCACCCATTTCATATTTTACTTATTTATTTACGAAATAAATATCGTAAGAAATCTTATTGAGATTGGTTAATTATCAAACGAGGCTCTAAGGTAAGTTTGATAAACCAATTGAGTATTGAAATAAGATGTGTTGATACGAATATTGATACCTTTTTCCCTTTGTAAAAATCCAAATGTACTATAATTTTCCTTCATAATTGAGAATTTGAGCTAGAAATGGTTAAGACGGATGTTAGTAGCATTTAATGTAGACTATGCATTGATCACGTGTGTTCGAAATATTCGTATTACGATACGTTTCGCTTACAAAACTCATGATTATTAGAACACTCATTATTAGTAACGGAATTTTTTAAGAAACTGCAATTTAGTAAATCTGATTTTAGCTCAATAAAGTGAATAAAATTTATTATCAGATATGACAAAAAGACCTTCACCACTGTAAGAGTGTATTGTCTAAACATTGGTCAAAATTCTGAGTTTATTATTAAGAAAATAGTTTTCTCTTGTACTTTCCTAGTATTAATATACTTTTACGAAAGATTTCTGAAAAAATGTGGACATCTCCACTACAAATAAATTAATTTAAAATTTTATTTTCATTGAATTTAAGGAATCACTTATTCAATAAAATTCTAGATATTTAAGTAAGGCTTTGCCAATTGCTACACTTTTAACATTATTGTGCAGCCAACGTTTTAAGTCTCTCAGCAGACTGCTGGTTTACTGTTATAAATATTAAAACATTATTACTGATATGTTGTTAATTCTACTTTGAATAACTGGCTATTTTCGCGTATCCATTAAATCTCCTTATGCACTTTCTTCAATACATGGCAAAAACATTATTTCAATTCTAAGTGAAATATAGGCTGTGAATATATACTATGTGGATGTGTGCGAGCATTTCTCATTTTTTAATATCCCGTATAGAGTTATACGAAGTAATATACGGAGTAATAATCGTATTATAGAGAAAATTATGAAATTCTGTTAATAATAGGATTTTTTCAAAATGGATGTTCCTTTGGTCAATCTGGCCCGAATCGAAGTTCTGTGATTTTGAAAAACGTTCTTTAAATTTTGGGATTACTTTATAAGAATCTCCTAGGTCATTTTCGAAATGTCTTCAATGACTTCAATTTTTTCTTTAAATGTTCATGTAAGAATATAGTGAATTATACGAATAAAGTTGATATAGGTCATGTTTACACTGTTAATTCTGAATTCTCAAAATTACAAAAGTTTGAATTTTTTGGCGTCTTCCTATAATAACACATTGAAGATAGGAATGCTTTCTTCAAGTTCAATTTGCTTGCCACCATTAGTTCTTTAATTAATGTCATGTACATTTTTCGGCAGTTTAGTTGCTCCCGTGCATATGCGTAATATTAAAAACAAGATTTTCTGAAAAACGACTCCACATTTTTCTTTCACGTTTATTGTAGGC